TACAAAGTCCATATATTACTTTTAACATCAAATGAAATTAAGAAAAATAGCTATTACATTATTCCTCCAGCAATCAGATTATCTAGCTTATTAAGGTAGTCCATATTTAATCCTCAGAATTCTCAACATTTCTGGGGTCCATTTCAGCAGAATCTCAAGGCTCTGGAGCTAGACAGCCTGGGTTTGAATTACAAATCCACTAATTCCTGCTGTGTGAACTGAGGACATTATGTAGTCACTCAGTCCCCAAATTTCCTCACATGGAAAATTAGAAAGTAACAGGTACTACCTCAAAAGGTTGTGAAAAAAAGAGTAAATGGGTTAGAATGTACAAAGTCCTTAAGAGTGGCGCATATTTTATAAATACAAACCCATTCACTTTTGTAGCTCTGGTCAATATTTTTGAGATAAGAAGAAAGATAACTTAATTCTTTATACATCTACAATAAGCTTGTTTTAAAGTAAACTTCCATACCTCTGAAAATTCTTGGGAAAATAGGGCACACAGTTATAGAATGTCTTCCTGTATTGTCTCCTCTAGAGTCTATAACTTTCATTATAACCTAACACCAATAAAGAGGAAATCTCTACAAACCCCATACAAAATAAGTTTTAATTACCTAATTCAGAGACTTTAAAAACGAATTCTCATACAGTGTACACTGGCTGCCTATTTTGGCTTAAAATATTAAAGGGATGTCTTTGTGCAAAAAGGAGAATAAATTACTGTCCTAACAGCAAGTATGAGAATTCCTCTTAGGAACCATTCTGATAAACCACTTCGAGCGGAAACTCAAATCCTTAGAGATGAGCCAGCATGAGATGATGCCACAGTAGAGGAAGTTAAACAATTCAGCATTAGAAATGAAAAAGAACTTAGTGACAGAGAAGCTGTTGCAGAATTTATGACGGAACAGCAAAGTGACTTTTAAGGAAAGAAAGACCCAACATTACATTTTATGAGTTTGTGTGGTTTCATTTTGGGTTTTGCAACATAACACCTCAGCATTCACACATGCACACATCACCTCCCACGCATCAGTAGTAGCAGGTTAAGGGGAGAGAGTTTTCTTACTTGTTTTGATTTTTGGTTTTCTAATGCAAATCAAAGAAAGGCAATATCCATGTCTCCCTTGACATGGTTTGGGACAGGAACAGATCTGAAAGCTACCAGTTCACAGAAACAACTCTTATCCAGAGGTGAGCAGTATTAGCCTGAATACAAATATTTCTCTCTTCCCCCTTTATTCCCAGAGGAATATTCTCCATGGGGAATTTTCAGAAGTGCCAATCTATCATCTAAACTCACTGACTCTTGTCACTGTATCTCCTGCCAGTCTCACCCCCATTTATTCCTGAATACATTCATCAGGACTTTGCCCTGAAACTGCTCTTGTCAAGGTCCCTATGAGGTTCACCTGGCTAGGTTCAGTAAATAGTGAATTCTCAGTCTCCATCCAACTTGACTTCCCACAATTTACTATCTGCTTATATTTGAAATTCTTCACTAGATGCCCAGAAGTACTGTGGATACCTGTTTTCTTAGTGCATCAACCAGTTGCTCCTTCTCCATAGCCTTTACTGGCTCTTAACATCCTTAACCTCTAAATATTGGATCAGTCGCTCCTTGTTTCTATTCTCTTTTCTATCTGCTCTCACAGCCCTGGCAAGCCCATCCAACCTCATAGCTTCCTGTATCATCATACACTGTCAAATGGATATCTCTAGCCAGATTATTCACCCAAACCCCATATCTGTAAATTCAACTATCTATTTGAATTCCTTTCAGACATCAAGGTGCTACTTAAATGTTTAACAGACACATCAGTATCAAAAAGCATCTCCTTCCACAATCATTCTGTCTCAGTAAAAGGCAATTCCATCTTTCTCATTCTCAAGCCAAAAACAAAAAACTTGGAGCTGTCCTTGGTACCTCTCTCTCATCCCTCATTCTGTTCATTGGCAAATATTTTTGTCTCTGTTTGAAATATATATCAAGAATTGGACCATTTCCAACCCCTCACTGTTAACATCTTAATCTAAGCAACCATCAAATATATTTTGCCTGAATTTTGCTGGAGCCTCTTAAATGTTTTTCATGCTCTGGCCTTTCCCCCTTCATCAGGGTCTCTCAACCTCAGCACTACTGACACTGGGAGCTAGTCTTGTTGTAAAGGCTGAGCTCAAAAGTGACCAATAGCTTTCCATCTCACCCAGGGAAAAAAAAAAGAAAAAAAGGGAAAAGGAAAAGGAAAAGAAAAAAAAGAAAGAAAGAAAGAAAGAAAGAAAGAAAGAAAGAAAGAAAAGGAAAAAAAAAAAAAAGCCAGAGCCCTTACCATGGCCTGCTGACTCTACATGATAGATTACCCACCCCTTTACTCCTTCCTAGACCTCATCTCCTTTCTCACCCATTTACTCCCCCTGTTCTAGTCATACTTGCCTACTTGCCTCCTTGTGTTCCTCAAATATACCAAGTTTCCAACTCCAAGTCTGGGTACTTTGTTACCTTTGCCTATATACCTATATCCTTGTCCCACAATCTCCATTTGGCTTGCTCCTTCACTGCCTTGGGTTCTTTGCTCAAAAGTTGGCTTCCAAATGAAGCCTTCTGTATTCACTCATTTTAAAACTTCAGCTCCATTCCCCTGCCTCACCTGCCCCCTCCACATTTCTTATACCTCTATTCTAGCTTTATTTGTAATTGCACTTTATCTCCATTTGATATACTACATGTGTTAATAATTGCTTGAATGTCTGTCTCTACCTAACAGAACATAAGCCCCAGAAGGAAAGGGATTTTTGCCTTTTTTATTCACTGTTGTAACCCCATCACACAGAAAAGTGCCCATGGTGGGGGCACTCAATAGTGCATATTAAATAAATGAGGGAAGGAAGAAAGGAGGAAGGGAAAGAAGAGAGGAGGAATGGAAGGAAAGATAGAAGGGGGGAGGAAGAGAGGGTAGACTAGGTCTTGGAAACCATTCTAGGTAGATTTGAAGGCTTCAAGGCAGACGCAGCTGACATCTAGGATACACATACAAGCACCTTTAAGAAAGACTGATTGGTTTCCACTGAACTTATATAATCATTACATACAACAGAAAGTAAGGATTTGTCAAAATGCTTCTGTGTTTAGGAATTTTATGTAGGGAGTATTTAATAGAAAACATACTCATAAATCCATTAATATGTAGAACTAAATATCTATAGATATATAAAATAAGTAGAACTTTAAAAGGAATTTTATAAAGTGCCATGGGCTGTGGTAATTCCCCTAGTTACCTACAAAGGAGTGTGCTGGGGTAAGTCAAATCATTCAATTACATACACCGTAAGGAGCTTAAATAGTAATAGTAACAGTGAACAAAGCTCTTTTCTACCAGGTGAAAGCCTGCATGGTTCAATTGTGAGTGAAAGAGAGGAACAGAAATGCTTCCTGCTGCAAGCTGACAGTTACATCGAACCCCCTGAAGTTATAAATTGAGTTCCTCTACTAATTACTGGTCTGAAGAGGATAAAGATCCACATTTTATTTTTCTTGCTGAACTTGCAACATAAGCACTTGTGAATTTTACATTAGGGTCAAGCTGGGAAGTTCCCAGCTGGTTTTACCTGGAGTAGAGAACAGTGTCACCTCCCATGCAAATGAGGTCAGAGAGTCCTTCCTGCCTTGGGTGCCTACCAGGGAGATTTCAGTGTAACAGATTCTAACAGGGAAGTTGATACAGGGGGGAAAAAGAGAAAGAAGGAAAGAAGACAGAACAAAACTAAATATAGATCCTATGTGAAATACAATTTTGTTTAGAAATTTGAAATAAAATTGCATGCATTCTAAGAGCACATATTTCAAAAAGACCTCAGAATTTTGTAATATCATTCCTTAAAATTGTATGCCACACCCATTTTGGTAACAATATCAACTATTCTACCTACTTTCTAAGCTACTCATTGTAAGACCAATAAAGCTACACAGCAGGCAGTTACTTTAATAAAATAGGCCCAGTTCTCCTGAGAGAGGAACCTGTGGTTCAAATACCAACACTTTTGATCAGGTAAGCACTTTATTCTCACCAATGAGCGATCACTTTTATGTGTGTGCTGATCAAAAATGTTCTTGGGAAGGAAAAATGTTTGGGGGGAGGAGGAACAAAAGACTGCTGTGATGTACTATTTCAAAACGGGTTTTCTGAAAAGGAAAAATAACTTCAGTGTTTCTAATGGGTACATGTACCCTTTCTAACTTCCTGGAAATTCATTGTTCACTCCCTTGCAAAAGCAGGAGCTTCACTCAGATTAGGATAATAAAATTCATTTATTCATTCAACAAACAACTATTGAACATACTGTCTTTGTAAAAGGAAGAAAAGTCAAAGTATTCATGATGAACATAATCTCCATTGTACAATTTCCCTTCTCTTTTGTTTTTATTCTACTTGCTACAATTGTACTGAAATATGACCACACAAAAATAAATGTGAGGGTATAATTAATACATTGTGGTCCAAGATCTGAGAATTAGGAAAGAGAAAATAATGAGTGTCTTCTCAGTGTAAAACATGAAAGAGTTCTGGGAGTCATCAAGACTTCGCTTGAAATCCCAGCTCCACCACTTACTGGCTATCTGAATGAAAGAAAGATTCCCTGGATATCAAGTCCCTTGAGTGGAAAATGTTCTAACAGTACCTATCCATCTAGTACTTGAGGATTAAATGAGATGTTAGCAAGCACCCCTCCAGAGCACATACTCAATGAATTATAGCTACCTGAGTTATCTTTTGGAAACCTAAACTTACCTAATGCCTTTCTTAATTCCTACAAGGAATTCTTGGCAAGATTTAAGAAGCTTAAGTTTTATTTTATCTCTTCAGAAGAAATTATTTTTCATGTTCATCTTCTCTAAAAATATAATTCTTGGAATTTTCATGTGTCAAATAAATGCATGAAGACAAATTTCTACCTTCAAGGATCCCTTCCAGTAAAATAATCAAGAAAATACTTACCTAGTTTGGGCAAGGAATAGGGCACTTTAAAGTAGTCTTCATAAAATTCTATTAATCTCTTTGTTATATGGAGAGCATAGTCCCCAGATCCTCTTCTGATAGCATCGGGTCTTGCATATAATCGTACCTAATTAAAAATATATATAAAAGTTACTTTAGCCTTTTGGTATTCAAATTTTATCTTCCCTGCATATTGAATCTACACAAATCACTGTGAATACTACAAAAATTAAACAGTATTCCTATTCATATATCAAAGCATGCTGTGGCGGAAAAAAACAAACTTGAACAATTAAAGTAACCAAGTTGAGCAAGTCACAATTTCCTCACTTTACAAGATGACATAGAGAAGATTTATACACCTTGCATCAAAGTAAATATTCAAGTTATCACTTACATGTGCTTGCTAGAGATATGAAGGTACAGTGGATTAGTATAATGGTTCCCTAACTATGCTCTAAGTAGGCAGGATATGGTGGCTCCACAGGAGAGAAAATTCATGGTTAAAGGCATATTGCATCAGCTTTGGAAGTATTACTAGACTGAACAAAATATAATTTATGCTTCCTTCTTTTCTTTGGAACCAAATGTCCTAATTCCCAATATGCAAAGTAGGAATAGCAAACTTTTTCCGTACATAAATGACCGCCATTCTGGAAGTCTGGCTACAACTGCTCCCAGCTTCAAAACCAGCTGAAGTATTTCATATTTCTAATACAATTTAGATACTTAATATTGATTTTTAAATCAAACCCTGTACATTATCTAGTCCTTGGTCAAAAAGAAGCCTGAGGCAAATAACACAAACTGAACAAAACTAACAATTGTACAGAAAAGGTTAAAATGAGATTAGTTTACATGAAGATTTCATAAAGCTATCCAGCATCTTTCTTCCTAAAGGCTAAATTTATTTTTCACAGATGTGGCCCCTAATCCTCATATCAATTCTGCGAATAAGAAATAAGCATTTTGTAGAGCAGTGGAGAACACAGAAGTCAGGGAGTTGGGCGTTAGTCCTGCTATGCCACTAAGCAAGCTGGGTGATATTGAACAAATTACTTAACCTCTTTGGGCTTCAAATGTTCTCACTTATAAAATGAAGGTGTTGACTAAAGTGCTTTTAAGTTCTAAAACACATTATTTCCAATCCCATTTTACAGATAAAGGAGTTTGTGTTCTTTTCAAATCACTACAAAAATAAAATAAATGGTTTACTCAGTATGTGGAAATGGGTATTTATATTCAACAGGAAGACGAAGGAAAGCTGTACTTAATCATATGAAAATTGATTATACAATTAATTCTGTTATCCTTGCTTAAGGAGAGAGAACAGCGACGTATACAAACACAAAGAGTAGAAAGTTAAGAAAAATGCATTCTGACTTGATGTTAGAAAGAACCGTAACTCAATAAGTTATTTACTAAATTCAATAACAATTATTTACTGAAATAGTGAAGGTACTTCCTACCCAAGAACCAAATCAAATATCAAATTTAGTTCACAGTCACCTTCACTTTTAGTTGGCAGTAATATAAAACCAAAAACTATCAGAACTACCAGCTGCAACAGCAGAACTTAACGCTCAGAGAGAGTGTGGACATGATTCCCTGACCCTGACATTAATTGATCATAAATAGGCACTGTCTTAAGTAAAGTTCCCAAGAAGCAAACCCTAAGGAAAGGGTGAGCATGCAAGTGAGTCACTAAGAAAGTGTTCTTCAGAGAAACCTACAAGAGAGCAAGGCAAGCAAGATAAGGGAGGCTAAGAAGTCAAGGAAGGTTGCATGCAATTTCAGGCAAAGTCCTGGCCTTAGCCTGATCCCACAGGGAGCTCTAGAGTATAAACTGCACTTGCAAGTTTGCACTGCACTGAGGCATGAGAGCTAAACCTCCATACTTTGCATCTCAGTCATTGGATACTGGTTACTAAGGGCAAGGCCTAAAATCCCAAGGACTTCTTGTTCTTGGAGCATCTAGGTGATGTAGCTCCAGTGGCCCAAAGACGGCCCTCTGGAAAAAGATTTTAGGTGTGAGCTACTAGGAGCAAAGTAATGAAAAGCTGGGAGATAGGCACATCAAACAGGAAAGGAAATCTGGTCCTGGCATCATCAGCATATACCACAGACAATAATTGTTTACTCATGTAGTCATTCACTCAACAAATATTTATTTGGCATCTAACTTACACCGGGGCCTAGACTAATGATTTTTGATTTAGTGATAAAGCCATGTTTTCTAACCAGAGATTGTACAAATGATTTTGAGGGGAAAAAAAGCAATGAAGATATAGTCCCCATTCTCAAAGAGTTTCCCATGGACTCAGTAAGTTAGATGATAACAGATAATGATATATGCCATATTAATGGTAAACTAAAATAACAAATGTATTCTGAGGAAGAATGGATAGCTTTCAGAAGGCTCAAAGGTGAAGTAAAGAGTAAATTCATGTTGAAACTATAACCAGGACCACTGTAAAATGATACAGCAAAAGGTTGCTGATTTTATTCCTACAAAGCATCATTGATTTTAGTAGAAACACAGCCATTCCCATCAATCAACTCTACCAGTTGGTCAACCTATTTGTAGGCCCAGACAAGAGAAACAATTAAATCAATCTGTTTGTCAAGATTTGATGGAAATAATCCAATCTGCATGAGAAGATAAAACATACACAGCTTAGCACGGTGATTTTATTTGCTCCATTCAAACATTTATTGCATGCCTTCTGTGTACCAGGCATTGTACACATTGCTCTGTGTGCCAGGGATAGAAATAGAATGATACACATTCCTACCACAAAATGAATGAGACATTTACACCTACTACTCTTAAGAGGTTCATAGTATGTGGAAAACAAACAAATCCACAACAAACATATAATGTGAGCAATGTAACAGTGTACTCTGCCTTTCCCCATTACAAAGAATTAACTGACTAAGCTCCTACATGAGGCCAAGCCCCCCCACACACACTCTATCTCTTCTTGCCTTTTTGAACATCATGCCCAAACTTCTCTCCTTTATCTCCTACATCACCAATTTATGCCTCCAAACTGGATAATTTTCATTAGCATATACTCTGTATTGTTTCCTATGTTTTCAAACAAAAAATTTTTCTTGAGCACAGTTTCTCCAGCTATGGTTTCCAGCAATGCCTTTGAGTTTTCCATATAGTTAGTATGAACATATAAGTTAAAATCCAAACTAAAACACTTTTCAGAATGAAAATAGCCCTTACACCATGAGATAGTAAGTAAGATGGTTGTCTATTTATACTGCCTGCTTCTAATCCTTCTTGAACTCACTGCAATAGGGCTTTCATCCCCATTATATACCAACAATGTTCATCCCTACTATATCCCAAAAGTGTTCTTACTGAGATCACTAATGGTCCCAGGTTGCCAAATCCAACAGTCAGATTCTAGTCTTCAACATGCTTCACCCTCCTTGAACCATTGTTTCCCCTCCTTGAACCATTTTCTTTCCTTGGCTTTCATCTTACTTTTTCTTCTATCTCATTAACCACTCCTTCTCAGTCTCCTCAATGACTCTTCCTCATCCTCATCCCTTTCATCACTTAATTTTGGAGGGTCCCAGGTATCAATCCATAGACATCTTCACTTTTCTGCCTATGTTTGTTATCTTGGTGGTAACATTTAGTCTCGTGATTACAAATATTAGATGCTGAAGACCTATTTCAAGCTTCCAGACTCATTAATCTAGCTGCCCATTGGATATCTGCACTTGGATATCTAAAAGGCATCTCAAGCTTAACATGTTTGAAACCAGATACCAGATCTCCTCTCCTCTCCTCTTCTCTTCTACTCTCTCCCCCTCTCTCTCTCACAGACACACATATGTTCCCTTTAAATTCTTTCCATCCAGCTGCCCAAGGCCAATTCCTCAACCTTATCCTTCTTTCCTTCTTTCTCTTACATTCCACATTCAATTGGTTATTAAATCCTTTGGCTCTCTACTGATGTCTCATTCCTTCTCCCTTCAGTCAGTTCTCTACACAGCAACCAAAATGTTCCTTTCAAATGAACATCAAATCATATCACTCTTCTGTTTTTCCTCTTCCAGTGACCTGCCATCTCATTCAGAGAAAAAGCCCAGGTTTCTATAAGGGTCCCAAAATCCCTATAAAAATCTAGTCTCCTTAACCTCTCTGGCCTCATTTCCTACTACTTTCTTCCACATTAACCTTACTCAACTCATACACTAGCTTCCTTGCCATTCCTCAAACACACCAGAGATTCCTCTGTCAAGGCTTTGAGTTTTCCCTTGGGTATCTCCATGACTTATCCCCTCCTCTTTTAGATACTTGTCCCAATACCTCCTGTTTCTGAGAAGTCTTTCCTCTCACTTCAGGACTCCCTTCCTTGCTTTATTGTTTCCTGTAACATTTATCACCATTTAACAAAACATATGTTTTACTTATTCATTTTGCTTCTTGTTGCTTTTTTCCCCAAGAATATGAGTTGCATGAGAACAAAGATTTCTACCTATTAATTCTAACTATGTGAAAGTGCCACTTTGGAGGTCAAAATATTTTGTTCAATTTACTTCTCAAGTGTCTTGTGCATAGTAGACATTCAATAAACCTTTGATGGAGGAATGAATTAACTCCACAGGTGTGTGCAGGTCCTAAGGGAGTATGTAACAGGAACCCTTTGACAAAACTGTGGGATTCTCAGAAGGAGGGGACATTTCACCTAGATCTTGAAAGATAAGCTGAATGTAGTAAGCTACGAAGTGGAAATCCCAGACCAAAATAACATTATGTGCTAAGGCAACAATGTTGACCAAATAATAAGTGATTTTAAAATTAGTAACAAACATTGGCATTTTATTATAATAATGATGGCACTTCATTGGTAAATATTAAGCCAGAAAACAACAAAATTACTTTTGCATTTCAGAAAGAATTTAATACTAAGAATTTAATACTATGGGCACAGACAAGATTTTAAGGCACAAAATGACAATCACAATTAGGTTTTAACAGATTACATCACTGCAAAGAGAAATTAAGGAATCGATCCCATTTACAATTGCACCAAAAATAATGAGAAACCTAGGAATAAACCTAACCAAAGAAGTGAAAGACTTGTAGTTTGAAAACTA